CATAAGTAATTTTAATAATTATATATATATTTAATGCTGTTTGAGCCAAAACTTCATTGAGGAATCCTTACATAGGGTAGAGAAAACAGAGTTTCTCTTGAACTACATATGATAGGCACTTATATAAATAAAGTATTACAATATAAAAGCTCCTTTATGGAGACTTCACCTTGTGGTCTGGCCACCTCTTAAGAAGGGAAAGAGGACTAGTCTAAGGTCTAACTAGTGCTGAAAAAAAATTTTAAAACTATGCAGACCATTGGATAATAAATCTAAATTTTCTATACCTGCTGACCATTTACTAGAGATCACCATTGACCAATCTGATGCCTTGCAAATTATCCACTGGAATACTGTGTTTCTTCATTTTTAGAAGGGAGTGGTGTGCAAAAGGGGGGAAAAAATTACTCATCCAAAGATCTGTGGAACCTATGGTCAAAGAGATATCTTAAAATCTTTGATGGGGTTGATGAATTCAGTCCTATAAGTAATATAATCTTCAAGCATTTGCTGCTTATTTAAGAAGGTGCAAAACTTCTAAAGGTAGATTTAGCCTAGAGGGGATTTTTCCATTTTGGCAAATGTTTCCAACTAGTACTTTTACTACAAGTAAGAATAGTGGATATCATTGGTAGCTTTAAAGCCTTTCTTAAGGGAGAGTTACATCAAGAACCTTGGTGTAGCTTTGGTTTTAAGTCCTTTAGCAAACTATGGATCAGGAGTAAAAACCAATCAGTTGGTAAAAACTTCTTGTCCACCTTGTTTGTTTTTTATAAGAAAAAGAACAGATCTTTACCTATCTGTGGGAGCGAAAGGAATCTACTGACTGTCAAGGATAGGTGACTTCAATTCCAAAAATGATTGAAGTATCTTGCAACCTTTTCTATGGTCAGACGGACTCTTTCCTGTTTCTTAAGATATGTTGAATACTGTGTCCTGTATCCATCCGTACGACTGACATGCAACTTATAGTGAATTTCAGGTTCTTATGGGAGTTGAAAAAATACATTCAGACACATGAGGTGATCAAATAGGAGCTTGTTTATATCTTGGATCACTGATGTGTTTCCATTGTCCAATCATAGCACCAGAAACTTTGTGCTACTCGAAATTCAGAATCAAACTGAGGTAAGCAAAATCTCCTAGAGAATGCTATGAAAGAGTATCATTAGAGCCTCCATAATGACAAGAGGGTAGTGAGTTGTCTTCTAAAAAGTTTCTCATCACAAACTAGGCTCTGTAATGTTTCTAAGGCAGGTGAGAAGAAGATAGAGAAGTTAGGTCTACTCTCTTTCGAAGCTTTCTTGCCATTGGTAGGAAGGGTAGAGTTGTCTTTCTGACTACTAGAAGACAAGTTTTTTATAACAAGATATAAAAAGAGGTAGTGGGTTGGTGGGGTGACTCTTGAGAACCTTGTTCTCAAGTTGGTTTAAGGAAAGTGATAAGACTTTGTTAGGCTAGAAGTATAAAACTTCTTGCGAATATCTTTTTTGTGTGTAGTCAGAGGATCAGTGAAAAGAGTGACTTAAAACTACTATATAACAATATAATAATAATAATATATATATATTATGATCTAAACTTTTTCTGCTGATCTTCTGACCTCACATAAAAAAGTTGTTTGCAAGAAGTTTTTATACTTCTTTGCGAATAAAGTCTTAATACTTTCATTAAAACAACTTGAATTATGACTTCAAGAGTCTCCTCTACCCTTTTTCTTTTGTTTACAAACCTTTTTACTCAAAAACTTGACTTCTAGTGACTAAAAAAGTCAAGTAACACCTTTGATATCAATGGCAAGAAAGTTCTAAAAGGAAGAAAAACTGATTGTGAAGTACCTGAAGATCTATTTAACCTTAGAGGTGAGAAATATATAAAGGTTTTTGATAACAGAAGAGCTTATTTTTCCCCTTCCAGTCACTATTGGACCTCTTAGAGCTATCGCTTTCATGGTTTTCAGGGGAATTTTGCCTACCTCAGTTTGATCCTGAATTTTTGATAGCACAAATCCTCACTAAAGATAATTGATCAACACAAAATATATTAGTTTTTGAAATATAAACAAGCTTTTATTGCTCATATTCACATGTTCTAATAATACCATTGGCAATTAAAAAGAAAGTTCTGGAAACAGTTGTCCTCAAAAAGCTCAAGTCCCTCAATAAAAACTTCTATGACACCAAAAGATCAAGTGATGGATAATGTGGATTGCAAACTTCCATCTCTTATCTAAGTTCCTTAAGTGGTGACAAAGCTTTAATGGAAAAAAGTTGAGATTTAAATATTTTCCTTGAAATATCCTAATCCAATGTTTACTTAAATAAAAGATCAGTTGGATTGACTCGTCTGATGTTGCAGATGGTAAAAAAGAAGATTTCTTCTAAGGTTTAAGTGAAGCAAGAAGACTATTCCAATTAGACAGATCCCTTTTGAAAAGAGGTTTGCTTTTATTTTTGGATTTTTTGATAGACCTTGAATTGGCACTTTTTCTTTTTTTAACTGAGCAATTCATTGATTTTTAGGCAATCAACAGTGACAAACTGTTAATAATGATCCTGGTAGATAGAGGATATTACCAATCTATTAGGAGAGTATAATATTATTCCAAAATCTAACTTAGAGTACTTTTGTATGAAAAAGAGTTATCCACTTTGTAAAAATCTATAAAATATTGTAGATTTACTTCAATTATTCAATAAAGACAAGCCATTATGGCATGATTGTGGGTTAAAAAAAAATTACAAATATATAATTAATTTCATGACTATATAACTTAATATTCTACATGCCTAATAAATAATGCACATTTCCCAGAAAAAAATCACCAGAATTTACTATTAATATTGCGATGATTATTTTTTTTACAGGTTTTTTATAAGCAATTTTTTTAATAATTTATTTAATAATTTAAATTTAAATTTTTTTATTTAATTATTTATAATAATTAATACCATATAGGATCTTCTTAAGCTTCTTTCACCGCATTAACATGTCAATTCATACTTCTAACAAGATTTACATAAATTGAGCCATTTAAATTGAACCATTCTTTTTGTAATAAATCAAATAATTCTGACTCATTTTTTGGTAATAGAATATGACTACATATATAAATGACGTTCTAACTCATCCTATAAATGCTCTATGGGATTAAGATCAGGACTTATTGAAGGTCAAGAAAGCTTATTGATTTCATTTTCTTTAAACTATTGCATAGTTAATTTTGCTGTATAAATTCTTGCATTATCATCTTGAAATATATAATCTTTTTCTTCAACTATACTATTTAAATTTTCTAAGTAAGGTACATAACAATCTTGTAAAATATCAACATAATCTTTCGCAGTCATATTGCCAAAAACTTATACTAAAGGACCTAAACCATAATAACAAAAACACCTCTATATCATTATGTCTATTTTACCTGATCTAAAAGTTGGAATTAAACATTCAACATTAAATTTTTCTTTGGGTTTTCTCCATATATAACTACGACCATCTCCTTTATATACTTCAAACTGAGATTCATCACTCCAAATTATAATTTCCCACTTCTTTTTCCAACCCATTCGTTCTTTTACCCATTCTAATCTAATCTTGCATTTTTCTTTGTTTACAAAAGGTTTTCTCTTACCAATAGGTTAAAATAACCTTATTCATGAAGATATTGTCATATGGTATACGCACAAACTTTGGTGGAGGTTGATTCAACAAATTTATTGGTTAAGACATGTAACGTTGACTTTCTATCCTGTTTTAAAAGATAAACAAGGTGACGAATATCACGTCTGATTAATTTCGGTGATCTTCCAGGATGAAGAGGAGGTTTCGCTTGACCAGTTTTTTTATATAGTGTAATGACATCATAAACGGTGCTCTGAGGAAGTTCCAGGTTTTTTATGATAACCGATGGCTTTATACCACACTTCCAAGCTCCGATTATTTGATCGCGTTGTTGTTTGGTAAGTTCCTTTCTTTTTTTCGTCATTATAAAAAATTACAATGAAAAAAAAAATTATATATATATATTCGGATAGCAGAGGATCAAGAGAAACGGTGGATAAAAAATTATAAGAATCGGCGCAAACTTTTATTTATAAAAAAAAAATGTAAACATCAAGTCGTTACGGTCGATTTTGAAATTCCGGTAATTTTTTTCCGGGGAGTGTATAATAATTATCTGAAAAATTGATTATGCCTTTATAAATACGATGATCGAAGTTTATCTGTGGTAAGTTTCCAGTAAACTATTCTGTGGGATATAATTATTAGCAGCATCCTGTTTGGCTTTGGCTTTAAACTCAGCATTTTTTAGTTTTCGTGGTTAAGCCCAGCATTTTCGGCCACTAGCCTAGCATTTTCTTGTCTGAGTAAATCTAGTTCGAAAGACATGCTTGATATCGTGTTTGTATACAGTATTTGCGGATTTATTTAAATTTGTTTTGTACTTTGCGTATAAAAAGCATGTGACTAAATTTCTTAACCGAGGTCAGGAAAAATTCGCAGTTAAAAGGGAAAACAATGTGACAGATGGACACGCGAAAGCGGGAAGGGGGTATCAATTTATAATAGTGCAACTGATGCGCGATTGATCTTACATCAGATTGATTTGTATTTATATAAAATGCCTAAAATGTCGCCACTAATTTCAAATCCAAACTTGATGTCTTGTTTCACGTATATAGTAGTCAACTTGGCCGCCGGTCTACCAATTATCCTTTTCGCGACTCCTGTGATTCTTACTGTGGGAGTTGTGGTATGCAATATTTGTCTGGTTGAACCCATTTCTCAAACTGCGCAAATAAGCTCTTATTCTGATACCTCTTAGTTCTTTCTTATTGCCTGTTTTTCATTGTCGAACGCCTTTTTTGCGTATCTCGGCTATCTCGGAATCCGGGGTATTATCTCGATCCTGGAAGGCCTCGGAATAGTTCAAGGTAAATTTATAGTCATTTGTAAATCGTCCGACCAATCCCTAAAAAATTTTTCATTTAACGAAAATGTCCAAAGCAAAAATAGATCTTGCCAACTTGGATTTCAGCCGTACCTACTCATTTGAAGAGTTCGAGTTAATTAATAAACAACTCAAAACACGCTCCTTAGAAGTCAAAGGGCAACCAGTCAATTTATTTGACCTCGACAAAAACGGAAAGCTTGTTCCAATTCCACAGGCCACTGCGTGCATGGAGGCTACTGTTTCAACAATCGTGGGGGAACTTTATAGCTGGAATGTTCAAACTCGACAGAACGGGCTCATAACAACATCACAAGGAGGGTTTAATTTCAGTGTTGGAGGCCAAAGAACGATCAGAGCTTCTGATGTCTCCTTCACACCCAAAGCAGTATCTCGCCGATTGACTGAATTACAACGTTGGACTTTCCAGGGTCGACCATTTACTCCCACATTCGTTGTCGAGGTTGGAGATACCGAAAGTAGATCGACATTCGAAGAGTTAGATGGCAAATTTAAACGCGAATACTTTGCAGTTGGAACATCTGTACAACTCGGTTGGTTGATTGATCCCAAAAATAGTAAAGTCTGGGTATACAAGCGGGATCAACATGGTAATGTCTTTCGTCGTGAGCACGCATGGGGAAATGTAGAGGGTGGTGATTTTTTGCCGAGGTTCACATTAAATGTGCGGAAGATTGAAGATGCAATTTCACAGGTGCGTCATCGATATTACTTCTATGTAGCAATATTTCACCACTCATGATTTTAGATCACAGGAATCTTCAGAATCATCATCAGAGAATGAAGAATTGCAAATTAATTGCCCTGAATGTGACACAACTTTCTCCGATCGTTACACTTTCACTATTCATTATGCAGATGAGCATGCTCGTAAATGGCGTAGGACAGAGTAGAGCTTTAGTGTTTTTTTTCATTGAATTATTTCATGTATTTTAAACAAGTGCACTCGGATTAATTCTATTTTCCGATGCACAACACCACATGCAGATCGAACATTAATATTTTAAATAAATGACGCAGTAGTTCACATTATTTTATTAATCATTTAATAAGCATCATGCCTTACAATACTACATATAAAAAAAGTATCAAACTTTCGAGATCATATCTACTCAGTCAAGTTACATCGCCATCACGTGACACAATTTTACCAGAATTCCATATATTCGAAAAAAAGATCATATACAGTAGTTATCCCATATACAGTATATATAACGAAATACCTGACTTCAAGTATTTATTGAGAGAAGGCGGGTAAACTATCTACCAGCTATTTCTTGGTAATTTTTTTCTTGTACGCGTCGCTTCTTGGATTTGGGTTCAGAAATCCTATCTATCAATAATCACATACACTCTAGCTATATGCCTCCACAAATGATGACAATCGGGTCATTAAACTCCCAATAATATGACTAGATATAGCATTTGCACGTGCAATGACAACAATGTAAGATCACAAGAGCATGCTAACTCCAACTATTGATAAAATTATAATGCAAAAGATTGAAGACAGATTGCAACATAAACCAGATCAAGCTATCTATAAACTCTTAATACAAGATATTGAAAAGAGTTTCAAAACTTATATAGAAAGGCTAGATCAATATTACAATTCTGAGTCTGATTCTGAGTTTGAAAATGAAATTAAAGCTTTTGTTCGATTTTATATCTATTACAAACCCATGGTTAAAAATTTTATTGCTACTAATAATGTATAAATCGTAAGATATACTTTTACTTTTTTTTTCCTATAAACTAGTGACAGAAACCAGTCATTAATATCAAATAATATTATTGAATTGGGTTATAATAAAAATACAGAAGGATTGGGTTAGGGTATCATAACTTAAATCGGATAATTCTTTTCAATGAAAATTGGTCAAAACATTAAACTGATACTGTATATAAAATTTTATATAAGTGATTAAAACATTATCAAGCCATCTATCTATTTAGGTATCATAAAATATATATCACAATACCTTAGTCTGTGTTATAAAATTTGAATAATAATACCTTAGTTTGTATTATAAATTTGAATCATAATACCATAGCCTGTGTCATAAAAATTGAATCATAATACCTTAGTCTATGACACAAAAATTGAATTATAACACATACTTGGATAAGAATTATATAGATTAAGTGGAAATAATATAATTAGACTATTTCCACTAAAAGAGAAGAAAAAACTCTAGATATTCTATTAATCCTATCAAAAAATATGATAAAAGAAATAAATTGAGATAATATAACAAATATTTTAGCAAAAAAAAAAAAAATCAACTTTATAATATTTTTATCTAAATATAGTCTTAAATAGTATTATAATTAGAATATTAAGAATAAATAATTTAGTATTTTGTTTATTTAAAGCAATAATTTTTTTTTTTTTTAACGCTGGCTTAGTCTTGTTTTATTTGTGTTTATATAGTATTATTACATAAAATTTTTCTAGAATATACTATTAGTTTACTATCAAACAAAACTCAATAGAGATAACCTCTCTTAGGAGAAACTCACCTTGCACTTATTGCCACTCCTTTAGTGGAAGCTAACCTATTAAAGCTGGACTAATGTTAAAATAAATTTCAAAGATATATATATATATATATATTTTTTTTTTTTGACTGGTGCAGCCTCGTTTTATTATTTTTTCCAAATTACATATGTAGAAAGTATTGACTATGATACAAGAATATATATTCAATAATAGTAAAACCTGATAAGCTATATGCTACCTCATGGTCTGTTGCCCTTCCCTGAGGGAAGACACTAACATACCGAGGCCATGCTAGTTGTCGTATAAAAAGATAAAAGTGAAAAGATGCTTGTCTGATATTTTATATATTCATTTGTGTAGCTATTTACTATTCTAGTCAGATCTAATAGGGCTTGTTGTGCCTCAATTGGATTTGTTTGCTTCCTATGCTTCCCTGTTCTATCTTTTCCACGTTGCTTTTATTCCTATATATCTTGAGCTTTTCTCTGATCTTGTGTCATTTCATATCTTAGCTTTTATATATCATACAGATATTTCTTTCATTTCTTTATTGTGTTTACGATGGTCTTGAATTTGGTTTTTCTGTCTATTAGGATCATTTCAAGTACCTCAGATATTTTTTTTAGGACTACCCCTTTTATCAGGAGTCTGAGCTTCCTGAGGTTGTCCAACTGGACTCATCTGTAAATATGGTTTTTGAAAGTTTTCTTGTATTCCTTCGTGACTTGTGCTGAAGCATTCTTAATTAGGATCCAGTGGAAATTCTTCTTTAGTGTTTCTGTGTTATTACTATATAGAAAGGGATATGTTGTATCTTTAACTGTCCTATATTTGGCACATTTGTTATCTTTATAAGTTGAAGGGAATCAGTTGTATAGTTTGTGCAGAGTCAGGAGCTCTTCGTACCAGAGGTTGAATCTGAACTTTAACATTTAGTGGTCTTGTCCTGATGTATCATATGTGTTCATTCTAGATGAATATATGGTGGTGAAGGTGTACTTCCAGTATATATCTCTGATATCTTTCTTTGTAAAGCTGTTTTGTGTTCTGTTGAGCAGTTTCCCCTTTGTCAATCTGATAGCCTTGTTGACTTGCTTAACTAAATTCTTTTCTGGAATGTCTATTATTGTTGTGTTCTATGTTATTTCTATGGGGGGTACCCCCTGGTGCTGTCCCTTGATGTTTATAATTTTTTGGTTGGACTTCATGTATTGTAATATAGGATTAATCCTAGCTAACTTATCTGCTTCTTCGTTGAGAGGAATTCCAGAGTGTACCTTTACTTTGTAAAGGGTTATGTGTAGGTTCTATTGTTTTCTAATATAGTTGAAGATATTGATTATTGCTTGGTTGGGTTTCCTCTTTTTCTTGGGTCCCGTGGGATTCATTATCTCTGTCAGGTTTATTATTGCTGTTTGGCTGTCTGTGTACAGGTGGGCTACAGTGTCCTTGTTGAGGATACTTATTGCTGTTGTTATAGCCATTATTTCTGCTCTGGTTGAGGAGGCGTAGAGTTAGGTTTGTTCTTGGAAGGAGTATTCAGTTCCTATTTCTCCTTTAATAATCTAGCCGAAACCCATATGTGGCCTGTTATCATAGTTTGATACCGAGTCATCTGTATAGATTGTGACTAGTCTCTAATCTCTTATTTGTTCTTGGATCATGCTCAGAGTGTCCAATTCTGTCTTGTTGAGTGTGAATAACTTGTTGAAGTCAGTTACTTCCCAGTTGTTGTTGTTAATGTGGAGCTACATGTAAGGTTTCTTTGTACTTGGGATTTCCATCAGGTTGTTTAGTTTCTTAGTGATAGACTTTGGAGATATTCTGCAATATAATGCAGTTGTGGTTTTTTTCTTGTCTTTCTTGGTTGAGATGCTTGTTTGTTCTACTGGAATCTGGATCGTGTGTTGTTTTTTGGTTGAAAAATTGCATGATCTTGATGGTGTGTCCTTCCCTTCATCCAGGTTGTATCCTTTACATTTTTCTAGTGGTGATTAGTCTTCTGTTCTTGTATAATGTTTGAGAACTATTGTGTTAGGGCTAGCATTGCATTTCTTTTTGCCTATGGCTACTTTGTCTTGTTTTAATGTAGCCCCCAGTGCGGTCGGTAGGTATTGATCTTTGTCCCTGGTCTCCCTTGATCAAAGGTTGGATGGTTCTGTGTTCTATTTTCTATTCTGTTTTGTACTTTGGCTATGCTTGTGAGATTTGCTAGGATGTTTTCATACTATTTTGGACTGCCTCTTTTCCTTGTTTTGTTAATGGCCTCCACTTCCCTCCAATGTAGTGTCCTTGTGCCTGTGAAGTTAATCACTTGTCCCATGAACATTAGGTTGTGTCTTCACAAAATATGTTTGTATTAGTGATACGAGGATTCTGGTATTATTTCTTTTATTGTGTCATCTATTTTCTTTATTCTTTGAGGGATTATGAATCTGGGATTGAGATGGAATTAGAATATGTATTTCCTTAAAATCCATAGGGCGTTGTGATCAAGGTTTTGCCCTGCCCACCAGCTTAATTTGTAATTTTTATTAATTGAAACTATTATATTATTACAAATGAGTAGTTATACATATATGTTATATCTATATGGATAGCTATATATATATTTAAACCAATGCTATATACCACTACTACCAGCCCATCCATAAACTGGAAGCCTGCGTGATTCCATCTTAATTATTCCTAGAACAATTTTTATTAAGAGTATTCTAGTTATCAGGCCATCAAATTCAGTATCCTGGATCCTGGTTTTTAATCCTTCAGAATGGCTCACAAATTTCTCCTCCCACCAAGGCCTCCTGATCAAAGATATAAAAGTTGTCTATTGCATTTATTATTTATTGTGTTATAAATTCATTGACCAGATGAATGAACTGATCTTTTATAAATTGTTCTCTTTATATGAAGATTGAATCTTTTTCTTTTGGTTCATACTTAAACTTCTTTTCCTTTTGTTTTATAATACCATTTTATACTTTTCATTCTTGAAAGGCCTTATATCTTTTTGTCCATATCTGATAAAGA